CTGAGTAATATAAAATCTTAGTATGCAGTTTCTGAGTGAAGTTTAAGATGGTGACGAAGTTAGCAGTTAAGAATACTGTTCTTAGAAGACTTTTTTTGTAATTTATAGCATCTGCATGAGCTTCAAGCTTGACTTTATTACTTTATTAAAATGCACTTGTTGCAGAAGAATTTATGTTCATATCAATTTCATCAATCTCCAGTTGCTGAAATGCACTTCACTTACTTTGTTGACTTTGTTCACTTAAGGCTGCAGTATGTAACTTTTATGAAAGTATGTTTTATATATATTTGCTAAAACTGTCATCATGTTGTGACAGTATGAGACAGGCAATCTGTGAAAAGCTCAAGCTTGTTTTGTCATCTGCAGAAATTCACCTCTTCCAGTCAGAAACAACCAATGAGAGCTAAGAGGAGGATCTAAGCTCTGTCAATCATCCTCATGTACATGGTGCTCAATGTGCAACAGCTTCATGTTCTATGAAAACCATTTATCTGCTGTCATCGATGGCTATGCTACCTAGCCTGGGCAGTCATGTAGCTTCTGTTGTGGAGAACCAGCTGTAGTGCATCAGAGAGTAAGGGTTGAGTGTGTGAGGGGCGCATACACGAGGTGATTGACAGCACTAAGACCCTCCTCTCTGCTCTGAGAGGTTCCTTCTGATGGAGCAGAGTATTTGTTCAGATGACAGTAGGTCCTTAGGGAGAAGAAAGAGAAACTCAATTTTTTTTCACGTATTATCTGTTTTGTACCATACTGTCACAACATAGTGATAGTTTTAACAAATATGTAAAAAAAACACAACCATCTATCCATTCATTATCCAATATGTTTATCCTTGTGGGGTTACGGGGGGTGCTGGAGCCTAACTCTAGCGGTCAACAGGCAAGAGTAAAAATCATACTGTTTTATAAAAGTTACATCCTGCTGCTTTAAACCTATAAAACATCCATGATTTGTGCTGCAATAGTTGGACATTTTTCTGAGCTCTGAACAGTTTTCTCACATAATGTGTTATGTTATTTTCCCAGCTGTACCGATTGTGCTGGAGTCTGAGGAACCGTACAGAGGAAAGAGTGGACATTGATCCGGACGATTGGACTGAGGATCATGATGACGATGACGACAGTAAAATGGATGTAGAAGGTATACAGAACACATAGTTTACACTTCTTAAGATTGAAGCTGCTTTAAAGATAGCTGTAGATTTTACATGACTTTATTTTGATACAAAAATCTCTTTGCCTTTATTCCAGAACCTGAGAAAAAGCCAAATTTCTTCAAGAAAGCGCTAATGGGCTTCTGTGGACTGGAGCAGAACAAAAAAGCACCAAAACTTACTCCAGAGGAGGAAGCAGAACTGAAGAAGCAGCTAACAGATACAACAGAGAAGCCTCTCTGGAGGAACATTGTCAATGCAAATGCCATCATCCTCCTGAGTGTCGCTGTGTTCTTTCACGGATATTTTGGTTAGCCAAACCCCATCAACATTAAGTGGTACTGGATACTGTAATTTATTTTGCATGGATTTAAATTATAACAAAACCATTAACGCTGATCCTGTGTGCAATCATTCTTCCTGCATTGTGCCAACTGATCTCACATAGGACACAAAGTGTACTTTTCTCAATGCACCTTCCTTTTCGGTTAACTTTTTCCTGGTATTTGTCACCTGGAGTGAACCAGTAAACAATAGTGTAACATATTAACGCATCAAACTTGTTAGGATGTCCAAATTCTCACATATTTGTTATGTGTTCCATATCGTCTTATCATATTTGTACATATTCCCGTTATGGCCTGAACGGTGTCTTTTTGTTATGGTGCAAAGAGAGTATCTCTGTAACTGAAAGTAGCTTATACATGTAGCTTCAAATTGACTTCTTTTTATTATCCCAAGAAGTTAGAAAATTTATTTTTTGGCAAATTTTAATTGTGATACTGCACACATACATTAGGCGATAATTCGTTTTATCTGCAGTTCCTTGTCTTTTGTGACTGAAAACATAAACTCCTTTTTATTTTCTTAAGTTTACAGACAATTGCTGTTTATATACCAGATGCTACATTAAGTCATTATGAAAGAGGGACATGACAAAAATTGTTTACTTGGAAGAAGTTAGTAATATTTAACCAGTAAAGGACAAACAAGATGGTTGTAAATTCCCTCAGAATGTATGTGTGCTACCTCATTCATCGACTTCAACTGGGTTTTCTCATAATTTGTGCTCAAAGTCCACAAGTGCTGTCACTTCTAACTTCCATACACCTAACTGTGTGTGTTGTTTTAGGTGTTAATGAATAAAGCCATCTCAGGGAGAGAGAGTTAGGAATTATTAGAAAGCACTCAGACACTCTCTTTGCTTCCACCTAGTGGGGTAAAATGACTTGTAAGTTAAAAAAAATGTAAAATAGATTTTCACTGTTTTCTGTTTTGCATATTTAAATTTTGCCTAACTGTCATACCACAAATGCATTTATTCACCAAAGAAACATAAATGCCTACTTGCCTCCTTTTTAATTGCCTAAATAATATTTTATGTTTCTTAAAATAACATTTACAGCATTATCTTGGTTTTTTAGCTAACTGTACATTTATTCAATGCAACCAGCATGCTGTTATTAAATGCTTTATTATTATTGCCTTGGCAGTGGTCACGTTCTTCCA